GGCCAGCAAGAGCATGGTAGCAGTCTGGAAGGTGGATATGGCATTGAGTGCAGGTTAGGTGCGGTGCAGAGCAGGAGCAGAAGCTGGAATACGGGAGCCCCACCTCACCCCCGACCCACACACATACGCACAGCACCCCATAGGAGGGAAAGAAAATGTTTGAGGTCTCACAAACATTTGTGCTCATTACCTTCACATACAAGGGGTTCCTGGGCTGCCCCTCCCGCATTTAAATTAAGCTAGAGAGTGGTAGCAACCACTTGGCAGCCAGAAAAGACTTCCTGACCTTTTTATAGGGTTTCATACAATAACTGGGGGCCCTACAGACTGTCAGAGCCAGCCTTGGAAGATACCAGGTAAATGAGTATAGTGGGGACCTCGGGAGAAAGGGCAGAGCTGGGAACACTTCTGTGCCTCTTTCCCTCTGGACAATTTCAAGATTATAAACAATGCTTTGCTGTGGGGATAGTTTGGCTTAATTAATAATAGGGCTGCAGTCCTGCCCATTTAAGATTCTATTTATTCGCTGAGGAAGTTTCTGCATCTCTCTCATTTTCCTTTCTAGTCTTGTCTCTGCTGAAGTAGGACATTATGAGGAGTCCTCCATTCTACAGGTGAGTAGTTTTTGATCTTTGGGACTTAGAGCAGAGGCAGATGCTTCCATGAGGAAAAAGGACACAGCCTGTGTCCTGATACATGCTACAATGTGGATAAGCCTGGAGGACATTATGCTAAGGGTAACAAGCCAGTCACAAAGCACAAATCCTGTATGATTCCACTTATGGGAGGTACTGAAAGGGGACAAAATCATGGAGACAGAAAGAAGAATGATGATGGTGGCCAGGGCCTGGGAGGCAGGGGAAATGGGGAGTTACTGTTGTTAATAGGTGTAGAGGTGCAGTTTTGCGAGATGATAGTGGTGACGTTGCACAACAGTACGAATACAAATGCACTTAGTACCACTGACCCTAAAGTAATTATGACGGTAAATTTTATGTGTGTGTTACCACAACAAAAACACTGGGGAAAAAATAAGCAACATGACATCCATTTGGACGGAGAAGGAAAGTGAACACAGAGAAATGAAAATAGGAAGGTGGAACTGATTACAAATGTTTCTTCCCTTGACTTTCAACTTTTCTGTAATGTTGTTACATTGTTATACTGCTTTATAATAAACAAAGGGGGGGAAATGATAGTGTAGCCCTCTGCAGGCCCAAATAAAATACATAAACCTGCAGATTATCACTGGGCCACAGTTCTGGGACTTTTCCTTTTATTATATTTGTGAAAAAAAGAAAAGGTGTACCAAATATTTGCTAAATATGCTGGGCATTGCACTGAGAAAGTTAAGCTCCGATTTAGTGAGAACATGAGTTTTGTTTTGTTTTTATTAATTTTGAGAGAGAGAGTGCAAGTCGGGAGGGGCAGAGAGAGAGAGAGAGGGGGACAGAGGATCTGAAGCAGGCTCTGCACTGACAGCACAGAGCCCGATGCGGGGCTGGAACTCACGAACTGTGAGATCATGACCTGAGCAGAAATCGGGTGCTTAACCGACGGAGCCACCCAGGCAGGTGCCCTGAGAGCATGAGTTTAAATCCAATGTTAAGGTGGATTGAAAGAAGAGAATGAAGGATAGATTAGGGTTTATTTTATGAATCAGAAGAGCCAGTTGATACACTGCCACAACTGTCTTCAAGGCTCAGATATTTGGCACTAGGGAGGGTGCTCCTGCTCTGTCCTCGCCAAACATTTCCTGTCCTGACTCCTCTGGACTGCCCCTTCTGTCTCCCCACCCCATACCTTTGAAACCCAGTCATCCACCTAAGGAACCGCAGCAGCAAGGAGGGGGACAGAGAGGCAGCAACTTAATACACAGGAGTTTCAACCGGCCCCGATCAGGGGGTGGTTGGGCCATCTGGAGGACATCCTTTAATTACCCTGCATGCCTGCCCCAGGCCTAGGCAGATGGAGTTCTCTCCATGACAGAAAGCCCAACTTCCCCGGCTTCTGTCTTGTCCCATCGTTTCCTGTCTCTGACCAGTATCCCTCATGTGGCGCCACAGCCCCATGCCTCTGAAACCTCTATCAGTTTCAACCTCTCCCTCCACATCCATAGGCCTGGGGAATTTCACTTTGAGCAGAGGCAGGCAGGGAGCTTTGAGAGGGCAGAACAGGCATGGAACAAAGAACAAGGGAAAAGTGGGACCAAATATGGATAAAGAAGGGATTCGGAGGAAAAGTCAAAGGGAAAAGTAAGGAAGACATGCAAGTAGGTTTTCCTAAATCCAAGGGGCCTCAGAGGACTTGGGTCTCCTCGGCACCTGGCCTCAAGAGTTCTCTTCACCCCTGCCCCCTTTGCTTACCTGTTTGTGAACCTTTGTAAGCTGTTCCAGGTTGTTCTCAAGAAAGGAAATCTTCTGCTTTTGGGAGTGAATCCCCCCACTGTCCTCGGGCTCCATTTCTGCACTCTGATTAAAGACGGAGGGGTTAGAGAAACTTGAGGACGGGAGGAAAATATGGGGGCTGTGAAAAATCCTAGGAAGGCACTCACTTTCTTGACTCGAGTCGTGACGTCTTGAACGAACAGTTTGCGAAGGTTGTGGAGGGTCTGGAGTTCCCGGGCCTGGAAAGAATGGTGAAAAATTGGGGATGGCCAAATTACCAGGTCAACTTTTTCACTTCAAAATTATTGGAACCTTCAGTCTGCCTAGTCAGGTGAATCACTCATCCTTTAGGAAAAGATGTGTCCTGATTATGCCACAGACTGACTCTGCATAAGGAATGGGGTTATGAAGAAATCAGGGGGAAGAAATGAAGTCCCCACCTCACCCTGTTAACTTGGTACAGAGAAACCACTCACAACTGTCTCCTCCAGACCCTTGAGGTCCTGCTTGGACTGTTCATGTCGCTCATACAGAAATCTGGGGAGAAGAAGGAAACACAAGAGTCCCTCAGGACAGTCCCTCCTCCCTTTCTCCTCCCTCTCCATTCCTTTGATCTATACTTTATTATTATTTATTATGCAAATTACCCTGTTCACTGTGTAGAAATTAGAAAAGAAAAAAAGATGAATTTCATAAAAAGCCCATAATTCTACTACTCACAGATCAAACCACCATTAACATTCTGGTGTCCATCTTTCCCAACTCTTACTTCTCCTTCTTCCTCTTTTTTTCTTTTTGTTTTTGTTTATTTATTTATTTTGAAAGGGAGAGAGCACCAGCTGGGGGTGGGGAAGGAGACAGAATCCCAAGCAGGCTCCACCCTCTCAGCATGGAGCCCGACACGGGGCTTGAACTCCCAAACCGTGAGGTCATGACCCGAGCCAAAATCAAGAGCGTGACATGCAACCCACTGAGCCACCCAGGGGGCCCCACCCCCTCCAGACTCTTACTTCTACGCGTGTAGAGCCCCCAAAAACTTTATGGGATCCTACCATTCATACTGTTTTGTAACCTGCCTTTCACACTTAAGAGAACATCACAAACATCTTTCCGTGGCAACTAACAGTCAGTAGAGGTCCTTTCTGAAAGTCTCTCTTTGTTTCCCTTCCCCGCCCCATCACATGACTCTGAGGTTGCCATGTGCACATCTGCATCGCGCCCTGCCTCTGCCGGTGTGAGTGAGTAGCAGTCTGCGCCTGCCCGGCGGCGGGTTTGCGGGCAGATACCCATCACTCACGTCAGCTCCTGGAGTTTGCTGCTCTTCTCATGCTCTTCATTCTTCAGCTTCTCGTAGTCAGCCTGAAGCTTCTCTAGCTCTAACTGGAGCTTCTGATTCAGGCTGCACAGGGCAAGGAGGTGTCGGAGAGAACAGAACGATGTCAGGGACCGGGAAGGGGAAGACCGGCGCTGCAAACATTTTCCTTCCGGTACAGCCGGGCCAAGTCGGGACTGATGCGTCTACCTTTGGATATCAGAGGCAGACGCAGGCCGCTGACAGAGTGAGGAACCCTGAGCTATCCAATCACAAGAGCTCAAGGAGAGGGACTAGTCCTCACTCCCGTGTCTCCCGGGGTTGGGTGATAAAGCTGTGGCATCGCTGGGGGAGGGGCGCTTGGAAATGAGCAAAGCAGACCTTGGGCCAAGAGGGAGCACGCGTGTGGGCACAGCAAGGCAAAAGGACCCGGGGAGGCCGGGGCTGCCCAGGGGGACTCTTACTCTTTGAGCTCATCGATAGTCTTCTGCTTCTCATTGATCTCGTCCCGGAGCCGGGCCAGCTGCCGGTGATGGGCCTCCCGATGACTCTCCATCTGCACCTCCAGGGCCTTCTGCAAACAACCCCACCCCACACTCAAAGCCGGACTCCCTGACACCAGCTTGGAGCGGGCCGGCTCAGCCCTGCCAAGCCCCAGTGGTCCCCTACAGCTTCCCCTCTCACCTTCACTTCATCTGTGTCCTGTGTGTCTGGCTCCTTGTCCTTCAGGGCCACTTCATGCACAGTTTCTGAGGGAAAGAAGGAAAGACAGCTTACCTCACACCTACCTCCTCCGGAAAGAACTTCCACTTTGTGACCAGAGCTCCAGGTCGGGCAGGCGACATCTACCCAGTATGGACCTCCGTGATGTTCTTCTGGGTTAGGACAGTCCAATTGGACACAGCAGGGAAAGAGATCAACGGAGGGTTTATGGTTCGTGTACAATAAGCTCTGTGCAAAAGCATGCTAAGTAGCGTACGAGTTGGCCTCCGTGATGTCAGTCTAATGCATTGGATGAGTGTGCTGTCAGGTGGTTTCTTCTGATGTCTGCCACTTTTCCTCCCTGCCCCCTCTGGGATCTCAGATCCCAGGATAAGTGGTTTGGAGGTTTAAGAAGGCCTCACCCTGGGCCTGGAGCTTGGCCAGCTCGTCACTCAGGGAGTCATAGGACTCTTCCAGATGCCGCTTCTTTAGCTCCACGCTCTGCATATACTCTGTAAGCGAGCGGATCTTCGCCTCGTGCTAATGGGGGAAGGGTTGGTGAGAGGAAGAAGAAGGGTGGAGTCAAGGACACAACTCCAGGCAGCACAGACCTCTGCAGCTCTCCCAGGCCCTCCCCTCCTGCTGCGCCTGCCTGAAGACACAGGGCCAGAGGCCATTTCTTTGGACCCTTCCTTTAGACCCCATCAGCTCAGAGGGTGCCAACTCCTCTGACCCTTCACTTCCCTGGCCTGGACCCTTCCCTGCCACCCCAGGCTCTTCTATCCTTGACTTTGGTTGACCCTAGGTCCTTGACATGAAAGTGGGTGCTAGGAGTTTTATCCCACAAGCTACAGAATCACCCTCCTTCCCATTGCACGCAAAGGCCTTCAATGCCCCGCGCTCACCTGGGAGATGAGGAGCTGACAGGAGGAGAGTTCCCGCCCAGTCACTTCCATTTTGCGATGACATTCGACCTGCAGGTTCTCTAGCTGCCGGCAGCGCTTGACCACAGACTTGACTTCTGATTTGATTTTGCTGATATAGAGTCGGGCCACCGTGAATTCCTCCTCGATGGCTCCGCTGATCTCCACCGGCTGTGGGGTGGGGGAAGGCAGGAAGAGGTACTTCTCTGCTGCAGGGAAGCTTTTGCCCATTCCCTTCTACCCTGCCGATCCCCGTGTACACCCACACACACAGGGATTCGGGTGGGAGAAGAATTTTCCAAACAACTTTTACCTGCCATCACCTGGCATTTCGTATTAAATCCTTCTACCTGTACTTAAAGATCCAGTTCCCACAGTCGCCCTCTTCCATCTTATAAAACAATATGATTTTCTTTTGCAGTCAAACTGTTCTGCCTGATCGCCCAGATGGGTCATTTTCACTGCCACAGATTTGCATATATCATTCTCACATCTGTGCCTCATCTCTAAAGCCTGCTATAGGCACATCTCCATTCCTTCTTTATTCAGCACCCTGTAGAAGGTGTATTTACAGTTGAGTCTGTGCAAAATTCTACTTGTTTTCCTGTATCTAGTTTATTTTTTTTAATTTTTGTTTAGTTTTTGAGAGAGAAAGAAAAAGAGCATGAGCGGGGGAGGGGCAGAGAGAGAGAGGAACAGAGGATCGGATGCAGACTCTGTGCTGATAGCAGAGAGGCCGAGGTGGGGTTTGAACTCACAAACCAGGAGATCATGGCCTGAGCCGAAGTCGGATGCTCAACCAACTGAGCCATCCAAGCACCCCATGCTAAAGGCATGTTTCCCAGATCTCTGGCCCACCTTCCTCAGCATCCCTGAGGGCCTGGACTGTCCACCCTGCATCTCCCGCCAGTGCCCAGAACAAGAATGACCTGAACAAGATTCCTGCCTCTGTCTCCACTCACCAGCTTAATCTCCCCGTTGCCCACGATGACACTGAACTCACTCAGGTCCTTCATCAGCCCATTCAGCACCTCAGCAATGCGTTTTCGCTGGTGTCCACTGACCTCCTGTAGCCGCTGCAACTCAGACTCCAGGGACAGCATGGTGGCCTGGGGACAGCCCCTTAGGTCATCCCACTGCCATCTTCCTACCCCCCTGCCTAGCCCAGGCAGGGGCCTCCCCCTCATACATGACCCTGAGGGCTGCTACAAAGGGAACATGGGCCCTGCAAAAGGGTTTGGAAGAGACAGGAGTCAGGAGGGCAGTGTGGTGACAGGTGGGAAAGGTTCCCGCAACACACCACACAGCAGTGCAAGGGTACAAACGTGACGCAGGGGTCCCTTTGGATGTGGGGGACGTTCTGGAGGCCAGGGAGCTCTTGCACCCCAGTCAGCCACTCACCACCTTCTGAGATAGCTCATCCACCAGAAGCTGGTTCTGCTGGCTCTTCTCCTCCACTTCCTGGGACTTCTGGTCATAGTTCACGGCCAGCTCTTCCAGGGCCTGTAGCACTTCCTTCACCTCATCCTTAGCAGCGTCATTCTCTGACTGCAGGTGGCTCAGCTCCCGCTGGACTTTTTCATTGTCTCCTCGGGTGGACACCAACAGCTTCAAGAAAGAGGTAAGGCACGTGAGGGACCACCGCTATGGTCCCCTGGTCTGGGGAAGCTCAGAGCACTACCCCAGACAGGGTCCCTCTGGCACCTGAAGCCTGGAGCGCACAGCTCTAGGAGAGGAGCAAGGGCCAAAGTGAAAGTCAGGAGGAAGGGGGGTGTAGGCTTCTTAGAAGCAGGACAACAGAAGGAAGAAGCACCCAGACTCCAAAATCCGTGGTTTACAAAAAGCCCCAGTTAAGTCCCCAGACTTCTATAGTTTTGGGGGGTGACTAAATCCTAAGCAGAAGACTAAGCCCTTCTTCGGGAACACACCGCTCTCCTCTCATGTCTTGTCCTCCTTCCCATTACCTCTTCCTGGTCCAGCATCTGCTGCTTAAGCTTCTCTATGAGCTGGCTCTGCTGGTTGATCTCATCATCCTGTTGGAGGCAAGGGGGGAAGAGGGAGTGAAGAAAGGCAGCCCCTTCCAGTCTAGATGGATGGGGTTGGGGCCAGAGGTTGGATCCTGACAAAAATCCAGACCAGTCAGGCTTTGAGTTAGAAACCCCAAAACCTAAAACAAGGTTTTCCCCTCAGCCTCTCACCTCACTCCTACCCTCACTTTCAAATTCCTTTCTTCTAGAAGATGATCTAACCCTGCCAATACCCAGCAAAAGCCTTTAGATTAAAGGACATGGCCTCTAACCAAGAACTCCCACTTTGGTCCTCCATTCTAATCAAATCATTCAAAAGCAAAGTCTTATGCATCAGAGGCAAAGATAGACCTTTCAGGGTTACTTATAAGAGCAAAAACAAACTACCCAAAACAAAGAAAACTAGAGGCCTTGCAGTAAGCAAGTGGTTAAATAGGTTTTGAATAAATAAATAAATAAATAAATAAATAAATAAATATGTTTTGATAAATGGACTTTTAAAATGCTTTTAAAATGCTTTTATGAAAAAGATTTTTAATGAAAAAATACTTTTATGAAGAATTGTTAACAAAGTAGGAAATTGCTCCTTATAGAATATGGAATGAGGAAATCAGATGCAAAGTTACACACACAGTGCATCTCAACTGCATGCTCTATGTATGAAGAAAAGCAAAATGTTGGTAGTGTTATTTCTGAATGGTGTGATGATGGGAGACTTAAATCTTCTATTTATTTTTATTTATCTTCCAAATTTTTTTAACGTTTAATTATTTTTGAGAGAGAGAGAGAGAGGGGTGGGGGCAGAGAGAGAGGGAGACACAGAATCCGAAGCAGACTCCAGGCTCTGAGCTGTCAGCACAGAGCCCGATACTCGAACCCACGAACCGTGAGATCACGACCTGAGCCAAGTTGGATGCTCAACTGACTGAGCCACCCAGGCACCCCTAATTTTTTTAATAATATGGGTAACATACAGTGTTATGTTAGTTTCAGATATATGATACAGCAATTCAACAATTCTAAATGTTAGTCAGTGCTATCTTCCACATTTGCAGTAATGAGTGAGCATTTGTCCCTTTTAAAATAAAAATATATATATATGGGGCACCTGGGTCGCTCAATCAGTTAAGCGTCCGACTTCGGCTCAGGCCATGATCTCATGGTTCGTGGGTTCGAGCCCCGTGTCAGACTCTGTGCTGACAGCTCAGAGCCTGGAGCCTGCTTCGGATTCTGTGTCTCCCTCTCTCTCTGCCCCTCCCCCACTCACACTCCGTACCCTTTCTCTCAAAAGTAAACATTAAAAAAAATTAATAAAAAAATTTTTTAAAAGGCAGTAGAAGCTAATTCCTTAATCCCTCACTTTTCATCCCCCTGGCCTCCCCTCTGTGCCTTGGATGTCCTCACCTTGTCATCGAGCTGCTTATAGAGGCGGCGGATCTCCTCCTCGTATTTCTGCCTCTCCTCAGGAGCGATGCGCACCACGATGGACGAGTTGTCATTCACAGGGGTCTCCTCACAGAGCTCCGCTCCCAGGGCTGCGTCATCCCCAGCCAGGCGCTCTGTCTCAGGCACGTTCTCTCCTGGCCAAGGGGCAGAACGAGGTGAGGGACAGGAGGAGACAGAGCTGTATCCAGGAGTCCTTCCTCCCTCGCTCCTCAACGCCAAGACCTCCGGGCAGATCTCCAACTCTGTTGCCAAGTGCACCTTCAACCTTTGCTGGGGGGTGGGACAAGGGTGGTCAGCCCCCTCTCCCCTTCCCTCATGACCACTCTACTGCACGCCTCCAGAAACACAACCCTCCTGGGAGGTTCGCCTGTCCTTAAGCACCACCCCAGACAGGGCCCCTCTGGTCCTCCAAGCCTCCTCCTCCCACAGTCTCTCGTGCCCACTGGAACCCTCTCTAACCGCTGCGCCACCGGCTCAGCTCAGCCTCCAGCTTTGCGATCGTCTCTTTCTGAGCTTTTGTCTTCTCTTTCTCCTTCTCATATTTCTTCTTCCACTGCTCAGCAGTCAACTCCAGATTCACCGAGGCAGTGTTCTTAATGGTCTTTGCCCTGGGTGAGGAGAACAAGGAGATGAGACCTCCACAAAGGCTTCCATGACCCTGAGGGGTGAGTGCAGCAGGGGCTGGCATAGGGACGAGGGACTCTGCCACTGACCGCTGCCCAAACATCAGGGTGGACTTGGTCTCCGCATCGTTGTAGCTGGACGGTGAGCAGCAGATGAACATAGTTGTCCGGCAGTTTCCTCCCAGAGAGTCCTGGAGGATCCGTGTCATTTTGCTGTCACGATAGGGAACGTAGCTTTTCTGGGGGAAGGGGGGAGATTATGAATCAGGACAATACTCAACAAGGGAATCAGAAAGGACAGTGGTGCTGACTAAGGATCGCACACCCCATGAACTGGGCGTGATGAGATAGCAGCGGCAGCAGGAGGAGAAGCTGGAAGACAGGGTGCAGCCTCCAGAACAAGGGGGCCTGAGGAACACTCACTGTGCCCTCAGCCAGCGCGGAGATGACATTCCCGAGGGCCGACAGTGACTTGTTGATATTTTTTGCTTCGTCCAACACGGCTCCCTCTGCTCCGGTCTTGCTGACCTACCAGAAAATTAAGGGATGAGTATGTCATAAGCACTGCAGAGGGAGAGGGCTCTCATGGCCTCTTCTCCATGTAGGGAGATTCAGTCCAAGAGGGGCCGGGGCAGGGCAGGGAAAGAGAACAGAAAAGGCCCTTCCTCTGTTACCCTAAACTCTCTTGCCAAAAGCTACCCACATATTAAACGAAATGTCCAGAAAAGGCAAATGCACAGAAAAAAAAAGTAGATTAGTGGTTGCTAGGGGTTGGGGGAAGGGAGCATAAGGAGTGGCGGCTAACAGGTGATGGAAATGGTCTAGAACTAATGGCGATGGGTGCACAACCTTCCAAATATCCTAAAACCCACTGAACTGTATACTTCAAAATGGTAAACTTTGTGGTATGCACATTATATCTCAACTAAAAAGTTATTTTGATTGAAAAAAAAAGCTCCCCCCCGACCTCCCTGCCTACCCACCCCACCCCCAGGCCCCCAACCTTCTCGCTCCCTGCCAGGTCCACTAGATACAGCTTCCCACTGAGCTTCTGCTCGGTCTCCATGTTCTCCTGCTTGATGTTGATGAGGAAGATGCTGTGGCTCCGAGAGCTGTGTTCGTTCATGTCTGCAGGACCAAGGGAGGAGCAGTCCCTGTACTAATGCCTGTGGAGCCGAAGCCCTCAGCCCCCAGCTTCCACTGACCGCTGGCCCACCCAGAGAGAGAGGGAGCCGGTCAGGACTAGCCCTGCCCCAGCGTCTCCCAGGCAGCTGGCTTGCACACACAAGGGCAGCCTCTTCTTGCAGAGGACACAGTCTTCCCTCGCTTACTTCCAGTCCCTCAGCCCCAGAGGACGCAGACAAGCAGCAGAATCCCAGACTCGAGAGCCCCTTATATCCCCACTCACTGGTGACAGCCACGTGACGATTTGATTTCCCCTCATCAATCACATCTAAAATCTCCTCTGGGCTGGACACAAAGCGTTCAGTACAACCCTGCGGGGGCGGGGGGGCAAATGGACAGCGACCTGTGAACGTTGATCTGCAAATTAAATTACCTGCACACTGCCCACGTGACCTTTCAAGACTGTCTTCCAAGCCCTCGGACTCTCCCTGGTCCCTGAGCACATCTCACTCCTCCGAGCTATCCGCCCTCCAACTTCTGGGTCTCTGGTCTATCTTCTTCCCACAAGCCCACTGTCAATACACCCACCCAGGTGCCCCTGTCCCCACTCTCACCTTGACAAATGGCACCCGATTCTTGTCCTCATGCACAGATAGATTTGTCTTGGTCACTGAATCAAGACAATGCGGGGTAGGCAAGGTTAGCACTTCCATCCCCAACCCCACACCCTGTAGTCTGCTGACACAGTGGTTTCTTCTATGTGCAAAAGAGGAGAAAGACTTCCCCATGAAGCTTAACGTCCCTGCATACACTGAAAACTCAGTTTCTCCTCCTCCAGGATTCTAGCCTCAGGGTTCCAGCTGGTCTCAGGCTGTTACTATGCTCTGGGTGAGCAGGCTCACCTTGCGTGTCTAAGCTCATCTTCTGACCCTTTGTTTTTGGAAATTCTGGTTAGTGGAGGCAAGGAACATGGGTATGAGTGTGTGTGCCCTCTGCATCTCTTGCCAAACAGCACGCAATCCCAAGAGCAATGTGACCTTTCTTTTCTTTGCCCTCCTCACACCCCCACCCACCCAACGGGATTAAACACCACTCACCATCCAGAAGGTCACGAATTTTGTCCAGGTAAATCTCAAAGTAAGAAACCTAGTTAGGGAGAAAGTGAAGAGGGCCTATCTTAAATCCGATACAAGAATCTCAAGTGAATGTGACTCACTCAAACGGTGGTAGTAGGAGCGAAAGGGCAGAAGAGAATATCTTAGCAGAGAAGAAGAGCTGAGGTGACTAGAGCAGGAAAATAAGTTGGGGTTCCCAGGTTCTCAGTGGGTTCATGCTACATCTTCCCCTCCCAGGCCCCATCTGAGGATGCCCAACTGTCATGCTGTGATCACCTTGATGTGGAACTCAAGGTTTTCATCCATGGAGTAAATGTGGTTAAAGATGTCTCGGGCAATTCGAGGAATGATTCCCATCAGCTGAGGGTCATGCAGCTTTCCCTGGGGGAGGAAGCGTATTCCAGAATGAGGTTGGGACTCAGAAAGAATGAGACAACTCAAGAATGCAGATGAACACAAAGGTAATAGCTGATAAGAAGACCATCTTAAGGTAGGAGGCAGTCACTGCCATGTCTACCTTTTTAGTGGAACAAGGAGAGAACCGAGTAGCCCTTTTAACTCTTATTGTAGCTGCTTTTCCAGATGAAAAGGAAAAAAACTGGAATAGTGGAAAGGATAGAAAACCGCAGCAGGCTGGAGGGATTTCACTAAACTTCCACAACAGTAATGCTCCTCACTTCGTCCGCCAGATCAAGCAAGCTTGATTCCAAGATCTTGCCCCACACTGAGATTCCTTGGCTTCTCATTATCACTCCCCGCTCTTCACCTCTCATGAAAGTCAGAACCCTCACCTCCATGGTATGTGTTTTCCCTGAGGATGTCTGTCCATAAGCAAAAATGGTGCCATTGTAGCCAGCAAGGACATCTGGAAGAAATGGCAGAGAAAGAGCACTGGTGGAAAGAAGTGGGGTAGGGAATGGGAACCTGAAAACATACGTTCTAAAAATATATCCATTACCTTTAACAATCTGCATGGCGCATGCATGATAAACTTGCTCCTGGGTCGTGTTTGGAGGGAACACCCGGTCAAAGACATATGGCTTCCCCTAGAAAGGAAATAAAACATGGCAGACATCAGCAGGCAGGGTGTGAGGGAGAAGAAATACTGCAGCCCCCTTTCATTAGCCTGCAAAGGCACCTGTCTTTCAACCATCCATATCCATGGATGATTTGGGGGGATGAGGGAAACTAGAGAAAGAGGAGCAAAAGTTAGTACTGACACCAGGAGTTGTGCCCATGCGCTACTGAGTGTCATTGAGAAGTGTCATACCATGAGTTCGTGTGAGGGGATCTTAGTTTTCATGTGACGATTTAGTACTCTACCACTCCAGGCCCCTCCCTGGGAAACCAAATGGGAAAAGACAATAGGGCCACAGGCTGTGGAGAGTGAAGAACAGTTCATTAACACTAAAAATCTACCTCTAGCTTTAAAAATATCTTCCTCAATAGATCCACATGTCCTGATATGGAAGGATCTTTGAGATGCGTTAAGTGAAACATGGAAAGTTAGGGACATATGTATAGTATGTTTCTTATTGTGTAAATAAAATATACATATACCACAGCTACTGAGCTGTTGTGCAAACACTAATGCAAGCCCTCTCTCTCTCTCTCTCTCTCTCTCTCTCTCTCTCTCTCTCTCGGTGAAAGAAATATATGAAATCAGAAACATGGGTCTCCTTTTAAGGAATCAACTTTAAGTAAAGAGAAACTATGAAGCAATTCACTGACTTGCAAGTACTTAATTCAGTTTATATGTTACAAATCATGTGTGCTGATAAGAATGCTAAAGACACAGGGGTGCCTGGGTGGCTCAGTCAGTTGAATGTCTGACTCTTGGTTTTGTTTTGGGTCATGATCTCATGGTCATGGGATCAAGCCCCACATTGGCCTCTATACAGAGTATGAGCCTGCTTGAGATTCTCTCGTCCTCTGACCCTCTCCCCAACTCATGCTCACACTCTCTCTCTTTTTCTAAAAAAAAAAAAAAAAGAAAAAGAATGCTAAAGATACAAAATATTTAAACCTGGGGAGCCAAACCAAGTATGTATTCACTATCCAATCATACTAAAGATCTCTGGTAATATTAAATGAGACAATGTTTGTTCTCTACCACAAGTGACAAATTTCTGTCATGTTTCCCTGCCATTCAGTTTAAAGAAACTATGACTGAGGCACTTGCATGATTCAGTCAGTAAAGCGTCCGACATCGGCTCAGGTCATGATCTCGCAGTTCGTGAGTTCGAGCCCCACGTCGGGTTCTGTGCTGACAGCTCAGAGCCTGGAGCCTGCTTCAGATTCTATGTCTCCCTCTCTCTGCCCCTCCCCAACGTGTGCTCTCTGTCTCTCTGTCTCAAAAATAAATAAAAATCGGAAAAAAAGAGAGAGAGAGAGAGACTATGACTGGGGCACCTGGGTGGCTCAGTTAAGCGTCCAACTTCGGCTCAGGTCATGATCTTACTGTTTGTGGGTTTGAGCCTTGTGTTGGACTCTGTGCTGACAGCTCAGAGCCCTGAGCCTGCTTCAGATTCTGCCCCTCCCCCACTTGCACTCAGTCTCTCTCTCAAAAATAAAGCATTAAAAAAAAAAGATAGAGACTATGACTTAGTTGTCAAATTGTTTTACTACAGAGCCCATCTTTATCCAACTGAAATGTAGAACTCTAGGTCTACGGTCACCAGAGTTTGGGAGACATGTCTTAACTAATTAAGGAAAAGTCATAAAACTTGGCCAGAGCTGGATATGGTGGTGCTGGGAATATTCACACTATTCCATCTATATGTAGAATTGTTTTCTAGAAGGAATTATACAAAAATATTGGCCGTGGTTACTATGGAGAGAGACAAGTCTTTTATTTTTCATTTTGTATCTTGGGCAGAGAGAGAGGGAGAGAGAGGATCTCAGGCAGGCTCTGCCCCATCAGCACAGAGCCTGACGTGAGGCTCAAACCCCCAAAGAGCAAGATCATGACCTAAGCCAAATTCAAGAGTCAGATGCTTAATCCACTGAGCCACCCAGGTGCCCCAAATTCTGTTAAATATTTAAATGTTCATACTGTTTGTACTCTGTATCAGTGATTCCAGTGCTAGGAACTCATCTTACAACACTTACTTAAGCACTTAAAGATTTATGTAGAAGGATGTTCAGTGCAGCAGTTTGTATTAAAGTAAAACTAGAAACAATTCAAACATCCATCAACAAGATGTTGGCTATGGTAACTCCATATTCCACCCCCATTAAAATGACTGAGGTTGGTTTACATATATTGACATGTCCAAGCTCGATAAAGTGAAAAATAAAAACAGTATGTGTAATGTGATTATACTTTTTATCAACGTTTTTTATTTATTTTTGGGACAGAGAGAGACAGAGCATGAACGGGGGAGGGGCAGAGAGAGAAGGAGACACAGAATCGGAAACAGGCTCCAGGCTCCGAGCCATCAGCCCAGAGCCTGACGCGGGGCTCGAACTCACGGACCGCGAGATCGTGACCTGGCTGAAGTCGGACGCTTAACCGACTGCGCCACCCAGGCGCCCCTGATTATACTTTTTAAAAAGCATATGGACACAACTGTCTTAGAAAAAAGACATGGAGGGACTATATACAGAACTGCTAATGGTGGGTATCACTGGAGAGCAGAATAACAGGAACTTATGCTTTCAACATTTTTTCTGTGATATTTAAATGTTTTACAGTGACAACATATTGCTTTTAAACTAAAAATGTAAAATATTACAGGGCACCTGGTCCATTGGTTAGTCTGTGCTGACAGCTCGGAGCCTGGAGCTTGCTTGGGATTCTCTCTCTCTCTCTCTCTCTCTCTCTCTCTCTCTCTGCCCTTTCCCTGCTCATGGTCTATCTCTCTTCTCTCTTCTCTCTCTCTCTCTCAAAAATAAACACTAACAAAAATTTTTGTAAAATATTACAGAAGATGGTAGAGAAAATGTGTAATGACAAGACTACACAAAGTACTGTTAACCAAGAAAGTAGTTTTTTTTTTTTTTTAATTTTTTTTTTCAACGTTTATTTATTTTTGGGACAGAGAGAGACAGAGCACCATGAACGGGCAGGGGCAGAGAGACACAGAGCCAAGGCTGGGCTCCAGGGCCTCATCAGCCCAGAGCCTGACGCTGGGCTCTCGAACTCATGGACCGCGAGATCGGTGACCTGGCTGAAGTCGGACGCTTAACCGACTGCGCCACCCAGGCGCCCCGAAAGTAGTTTTTAAAATAGTATGCAGTATAGGGGCGCCTGGGTGGCTCAGTCAGTTAAGTATCGACTTCGGCTCGGGTCATGATCTCACGGTTTGTGAGTTCGAGCCCCGCGTCAGGCCCTGTGCTGTCAGCTCGGAGCCTGGAGCCTGCTTCGGATTCTGTGTCTCCCTCTCTCTCTGGCTTTCCCCCCTCACACTCTGTCTCTCTCTGTCTCAAAAATACATTAAAAAAAAAAAACCCAAAACATTAACTAAAAAATTTTTTTAAATAGTATGCAGTATTAAAAGCAAAAAGAAAAGTATGTAAAGGATGATTCCCTTTCTGTAAAAAAAAAAAATGTATATGTATGTATGTATACCTTGCTTAGAAAAGCATGTTAATAGTGGTTATTCTTGGACAGTGGAATTTTAGGAGTTTCCACTTCCTTCCTAAAATGAAGGGCACCTGTCCAGCTCAGTTGGGAGAGCATGCAACTCTTGATCTCAGGGTCGTGAGTTCGAGCCTCACTTTGGGTGCAAACATTACATTCTTTTACAAAAAAAAATTTTTTAATGTTTATTTTTGAGACAGAGAGGGAGAGGACAGAGCGTGAATGGGGGAGGGGCAGAGAGAGAGAGGGAGACACAGAATCCAAAGCAGGCTCCAGGCTCTGAGCTGTCAGCACAGAGCCTGACGTGGGGCTTGAATTCACAAACTGAGATCATGACTTGAGCCAAAGTCGGCCGCTTAACTGACTGAGTCATCCAGGTGTCCCTGTAAACATTGCTTTCTAAAATGAAAATACATAACTTTTAAAAGTTTATTTTCTTTGTTTTGAGAAAGAAAGAGAGAAAGCATGAGCGGGAGAGGGGCAGAAAGAGAGAAGAGAGAGAATCCCAAGAGACGTTAGCTTAACCGCATGAGCCACCTGGGTGCCCCCAAGATACATAATTTTTAAATAAGAAAATCTTAAGTTTTTCAAACAAAGATATTAATATTCTTACTACATAAAGAACTCTCATAAATCAGTAACAAAAAGATAAAACTCCACAGAAAAAATGGACAAGCGCTATGTACTAACAACAGAAAAATATATACAAATGTTCAATATTTTCTTCTTCTTCTTCTTTTTGTTTTCAACGTTTATTTATTTTTGGGACAGAGAGAGACAGAGCATGAACGGGGGAGGTGCAGAGAGAGAGGGAGACACAGAATCGGAAACAGGCTCCAGGCTCTGAGCCATCAGCCCAGAGCCCGACGCGGGGCTCGAACTCACGGACCGCGAGATCGTGACCTGGCTGAAGTCGGACGCTTAACCGACTGCGCCACCCAGGCGCCCCTTCTTCTTCTTCTTTTAATGTTTATTTATTTTTGGGAGAGAGAGAGAGAGAGAGAGCATGCGCATGACTATGGGAGGGGCAGAGAGAGAGGGAGACACAGAATCTGAAGCAGGGTCCAGGCTCTGAGCTGTCAGCACACAGCCCAACCCCAGGCTCAAACTCGCAAACCATGAGATCATGACCTGAGCCAAAGTCAGAGGCTTAACTGACTGAGCTACCCAGGCAATCCAAATGTTCACTGTTTTCAAACTAAAACAGTAACATCGTTACTCACTTATCAAATTGAAAAACACAAACTTAATTATAATACCCAGTGTAGGTGAGGGTTCAAGGAAGTATCATTTCCACACAATGGGTACCTTTATCCTTTTCTGGTAAGACAGTATGTCCATTCAATTTTTATGGGGCAATTCAGAAATACATAATCAAAATCCTTGAATTATGCATATCCATTGACTCAGATGTTCTACTTCTAAGAATTCATGCTATGAAAATATTTGTAGCAAATATGT